TTGATTAAAAATATTAATTATTAATTACTTCAATAAAAGAAAAATATAATATAAAAATAATTACCATCTAAATTAATTGGCGAATTCCTCCAAGTGGAAAGGCTCGACCTACTTCTCTTTGGTGCCGATTGCAGAGGTGTATCAGGGTTTCGCTTGCCAGAGATTAAATTGTTAAATGCTTCTCGAGTTTTGGCGATGTCTCTTCTCGGCATTTTAATTTTTTATGATAAGATCGGTAAAGAGTTGTTAAAAGTATTTTTTTTATTAAAAATTTATATTTAGTTGATGAATTGGTGTAAAATTTTTCGCTTATATATATATATTTTTCACATTACAAAATTGTATGTATTATTTTAAATAATTAAAATGCAGGATTAAACGCGTGAAGAGAACTAACTAAGATAATAGTATTTTGAAATTTATAATATTAATTTTATTATAATTAATTATAATTTAAATGCAAGATTAACGATATAAGGAGATTGTTCTCAAAATAAAGATTAAGAGAAATAATTGCATACATGACACATATTCAATTTATTCTAAATTCTGTAGGGAAGCAAATGTTTCACACATTTGTTTCCTTCTTTAAGCTGTATTGCAATTACTTACTTGATCAAGTGTCAAGTATAAATTTCAAATAATAAAATTAATTTAAATATTACCTTTGCGATCTATTCAAATTTTTACTGCGACTTGCAAGATATTTATTTGTAAAATTATTTAAATAATAAATTATTCTGTATCTTGCATATACATAATCTGCATATGAAAAAAAAACTTATGTATGAAGTATTTGCAAAAACGCATTTTGATTTTATAACATCTTATCATTAACAAATAATTTTATTATTTAAGTATTATGTGCTAAAGTTTTAAATAAAAACAATACATGAAGATCATTTAAACAATAAAGGCAAAGTCATGATGTAAATCTGCGAAATTTATTCTTCTTAAATGTATTAAACTGCAAATAATGCAAATTTAAAATAAATACTCCGTTTATTATGCAATAAAGAACTTTTTTTTTTTTCGATGTGGCACTGCCAGTAACTTTATCAATAAAGAACTTTCTTAAATTTTACTTTTACACTATGAACGTGATACAAAATAGCCACTCATCAATTCGTGATTGGCTATTTTCGTTACAACTTAAAGCAGATGATGATTATCCGTGAGTAAATATAATAAATACTATGGATTTTACAAAATCAAAGGAGACTGAATTGGCACCCCTGAAAACCTCTGTTTCGGGTGCAATCATTTTTTTTTTCAGGTTGAGGGTCCATCATATTATAACATAACATTACACTAAAAAAAAATTCCTGATACACGACATATTTACGATTTGCATCACTTCAAAACGAATTCTAAAAACGAAATATTTACAACATAGTATTGTGTAAATTTACGCAATATTAACGTGAAAATTTTCCTGATGTAATTTTTGACATGTGGAAACACAATTTAAAAATTTTCAGAATAATTTCAACCACCAAGCCAAGAAGAATTTTTATTTATTCATCTCTGTCATTCTAGAGTAATATTCCATCGCCTTTTCTTCTTCTTTCCTTAATCGTTCTGTTTGTTTGGCCATCTTCGCTTTCGTGTTTTCCAGCGCCTCTTTATATCGTTCGGCTTTACGCGTTTGGAACGAAACTTCATTTTTCAACTTTTCATTTTCTTCAAGAAGTTCCGATAAATTATTTGCCGAATGTATCGACAAATCCAAGATCTGAACTTCTTGTTCATCAATGATCTTTTGTAATTCAGATGATGGTGTTTTTCGTTGACGTTTGTAGTATTTTTGGTGGTTTCTTTTTCGGGATGGACGCATTTTTGATGATCTGATTACTGATTTTAGTTAAAAAATTCTCATGTTCTTTTTATATATATTTTAATTGTAAATTTGATATAAATATGCTTGCTTTCCCCCATTTTCATCCCTTAATGCAGATCTGTGTTTTCTCAGGTGCAGGTGCTATTCTGAAGACTGTTTACGCGTAGCTTTTGACACGAAGTATATCATACAATTTTTATCTTTAGGATTCCCACTTTTTTTGGAAGGGTTTTATGTATTATTTCATTTCATGTATTCCTTTTAGCTAGTTTACTTTTCTGTCTGTTTATACTCTTAAAGTTAGCTCTTGTGTGGTTGCTTCTGATGTTAAGTCTTTAGACATCAAGTTGCTCTTGACATGACGCTTAATAGTTACCTGTTCCTTTCTGACAATGATGAGCTTTTCTATATTATTAGAATTTGAGTTGGGTAAAATTACGTTAACTTCCGCAATATTATGTATATTATACAATTGTAGAGTGCTAAATATATTTTTTTTTTTTTTTTAAAAATCAAGTAATGGCAATGGTAAATAAGATAAAATAAGCTTAATTAATCATTTACAATTCTTTATTTTTATTATTATTTTCGCTCTTTTATATATTTAATGATCTATAACTTTATAAAAAAATAAAAATAGAACTTT